AGGCCTTCAGTAACCGAGAGCAGGGCAGTCTCAGTTGAGTGGCCGCTTCTGAAGCCAGATTGTTTGCTGTCCAGGAGGTTGTTCTGTGTGAGAAAGGCTAAGACTTGGTTGAACACAACTCGTTCAAGTGTTTTCACAATGAAAGGTAGAAGGGAAACCGTATATATATATATATATATTAGTCAAATGATTAGTCGCGATTAATAGCATCCAAAATAAGTTTTTGTTTACATAATATATATGTGTGTGTACATATATGTATATATATATATATATATATATATATATGCAAATGTTATTATAGTTAATTGCAACTAAAGCTAAACCCAAAACCACAAAAAAAGAAAAATGTTTTTTTTAAAACCATTTAAAAAAAACATTATTATGTTATGTTAATTATTAAAAATTAACATTAACTGAAATAAAATATATATTAAACAAAAACTTAAAAACATTTCTAATTTTTATTTAGTTTAACTTGATTTACAAACATCAAAATTTTTTTAAACTAATACAAAGTATACAGACATTAAAAAATGATTAAAAAATGGCAAAAACACACACAAAAAATAACTAAAACTTTAACAAAAATTAAATGTAAAAGTAAAAATACCACTGTGACCACTATGAGCTTACAGCGGAAGTCCATTTCTGTGTTTTTACAAACTATGGGACGAGTCTAAAATGTTTTCTGTGGTAATGGAGCACATTCTGCTTTTGAACATGAATCGTACTGATAATAAATATAATGAGTTTTGTGAATTCAGCATGCTATGAACCTAAACAGAGCATTTGAAAAGATGGCTCAGGTTAGTACTATATGAATGGATCTACATATATAGATTGATGTAGTTTGTATCAGTTTTTGCTAACAATGTTTTCCCCCATGCAAACAGTATTCTTGGCATGTCTGTCTGTAGGCTCAGCAGAGAGTAAGCTGGAGCTGTGGTCCTGGCCGCAGTATCTAGAGCAGCAGAAAGCTGTGGCCGCTCCAGCCAGACTCTTCCAGGAGGTTTGACTTCTGTGTTTCACTGCAGGAAGGGAATAACGCCACTGATGCAGCCCTGATGTGTTGCAGAGCGCAGAACATTAACTTGATTCATTTCAATACGGAGTCAAGATTACACATTTTACAGTTCAATTATGGATTTTTCTATGTTAACATTTATCCATGTCGCCGGTCTAGACCCAGAGGGTTCCCACGATTAAGAACAGCTTCAGACAGGGGATGAAGTTAGAGGGCATCGACCCCCAGCACCCCTCCATGTATTTCGTCCTGACCGTCGCTGAGGTACAGTCTGGCTGTTCTGACTGTAATCTGTCTCTCAGTGCTCATTCTCTCCACATGCTCGTCTCCAGGTCTGCGGCTTCAGATTGCGCCTCCATTTTGATGGCTATTCTGACTGCCATGACTTCTGGGTCAACGCCAGCTGCGCTGATATTCACCCCGCTGGATGGTGTGAGAGCACAGGACACAAGCTCTACACCCCAAAAGGTGAATTACAAATCTGTTTAGATGAAACATAAGTAAAATAGGGGAGAACCATACAATGTGATAGACATACATACAATCTTAGGATGAATTATATACACCGAACAGAGCCTCTTCTGCACACCAAGACTGCATTTATTTGATCATATTGCTAAATACTTTTACAATTTAAAATAACTGTTTTCTATTTTGATATGTAAATTATTTCTGTGATCAAAGCTGTATTTTCAGCATCATTGCTCCAGTCTTCAGTGTCACATGATCTTCAGAAATCATTCTAATATACTGCTCTGCTGCTCAAGAAACATTTCTGATTATTATCAATGTTGAAAACAGTTGTGCTGCACAATATTTTTGTGGAAACGGTGATACATTTTATTTTTCAGGACTCTTTGATAAATAGAAAGTTCAAAAGAACAGCTTTCTTTCTTTCTTTCTTTCTTACTTTTGAATAGTGGTAGTGTATTTGTTTCTACAAAAAGATTAAGCTGCAAAAACTGTTATATACAATTATATAACTCTATCTTTCTCTCTCTCATATATATATACATGTATATGTATATATATATATAAACATATGTATATATGTATATTTTTCCAATATATGTATATTTTATATGTATATAAAGTATATATGTATATTTTTCCCTTTTTCCAACACATGGACTATTATGGCTTATTGCTTTAACATTGTTCAAAAACATGTACTTTAAAAAAAAAATAGGATCTATTATATATCACATATAATATTATATTTCACATATGTAATTTTAAAAAAGTCATTACATTTCGAAGAAAAAGGCTAAATAAAATGTTGAGAATAAACTCATTTAATTACGAGAAAAAAAGTTGTTGTGTTTCGAGAAAAAACTTGTTAAATTTCGAGAAAAAAGTCGAGACTCGTGTCATGTTCGTAATTTAATGACTTTATTCTCAACATATTATCTCGAAATGTAATGAGATTTATCTCGAAACATAACGACTTTATTCTCTAAATTTAATGAGTTTAATCTCAACATTTTATTTCGACATTTTTCTTGAAATGTAACTAGTTTAATCTCGTATTATAATGACTTTAATCTCGAGATGGTTTTATTTTTTTTTATTATTGCTTGGCGCTAATCCTCTTCCGTACAGCTGTTATAGATGTGCTAACACACAGTTATATTGTAAATTCATATTTCAGCAATTCAACCCTCTTCCCTTGCAGGATGTAAAGAAGAAGAGTTTTCTTGGTCCAGCTACCTAAAGATCACGCGATCACAAGCTGCCCCGAAGGAGCTGTTCTCTCACTCAGTTAAAGTGAGTCAGACACTAAAGCTGTGCCGTGCCTCACTGAAGGACTGTGAACTCAGAGCTGTTTTCTGACTGTGCAGCCGGAGACAGACTGTGGGTTTGAGGTGGGGATGAAGCTGGAGGCTGTGGACCGCATGAACCCGTCTCTCATCTGTGTTGCCACGGTAACAGACAAAGTGGGCAACCGCTTCCTGGTTCACTTTGATAACTGGGACGACACGTATGACTACTGGTGAGTTACAGCTGCTTGTCACGTTTGCTTAAATGATGCCGCATACAGTGTTGGGGAAAGTTACTTTTAAAAGTCATGCATTACAATATTGCGAAAGTAACTAATTACGTTACTTAGTTACTTTTTATGGAAAGTAATGCATTACGTTACTTTTTAAATCTGGGCAGGGCTTGATTGTTTGTTTTTAAAATAAAAAGTTCTATTTTTGGCAAACGTAAAAGCCCCTTAACACCAAAAACAAAAAGTAAATTAACGTCTGTATTGTAGAATGCAGAAGAAGAAAGTTCAACACTCTTCAGCAATATAAAAAAGCACAAATGTTAGTTTATAGTGAGTGATTTTTGCTTAGTATGGTTGAATTGTATCATCGAATGTCAGCAGCAAAGACACTGGTTAATAAAATGGGATTAAATACATAAAGAATATTTGTATTATTTAACATATTTAATTATTGCAGGTTTGCGTCATATTCTGAGTTGCATTTCACTGTTTTATATATTCATTTTGAGGAATACTGAATCTGTTATTTTGTGAGTGAGATGAATTAAAGCATGCTCACATTTATTCTAGAACTAAAGTAACATCTTACTCCTGATTTCTCTATAACATGGGGACAGGAGAGCTTTCAATCAATACATGGGAAAAACAAAGCAACTTCTTTGAAAAAGTAACTCAGATATTTTCTTGTAAATTAAAAAGTAATGCGTTACTTTACTAGTTACTTAAAAAAAGTAATCTGCGTGACTCGCGTTACTTGTAATGCATTACCCCAAACACTGACCATATATATATATACAGCGGGTAAAATAAGTATTGAACACCTCACCATTTTTCTCAGTAAATATATTTCTAAAGGTGCTGTTGACATGAAATTTTCACCAGATGTCGGTAACAACCCAAGTAATCCATACATGCAAATAAAACAATACAAATAAGTTCAGAAATTAAGTTCTGTGTAATATGGTGCAGTGTGAAATGAATGGGTTTCTTATTGAAGGTGAAGTGGTGATGTGTTCCCCGCAGGTGTGATGCTCACAGCCCGTACATTCATCCCATCGGCTGGTGTGAGGAGAGAGGCCTCCCGCTGACGCCCCCGCAGGGTAACTCACGCCGCTTTAGCCTCTGCACTCAACTCTACGTGTTTCAGCAGGGATCCATTGTGAAAAACAAACAGATATACCATTGCTTTGTTCCAAAATATGTGACCAAATTGTTATTTTGATATTTAAGTGTTGTTATTAACATGGATTTTACTTGAGTTGCTTCTATAGATGTTCATTACCTTTCAAATGTTTGAGGTCATTTTTTAAAAAGAAATTGAGGCTTTTTTTTTTAGCAGGGATGTATTAAATTGATCAAAAGTTACAGTAAATAATGTGTCAGTATAATGTCGTGACAGTATAATGCCACAAAAGATTCGTGTGAGCTTTCTATTAATTAAAAAATTTTGGGGGAAAAAATGTATTATGATTTCCACAAAAATATCAAGTAGCACAATTGTTTTCGAAATTGATAAAAATAAGAAATACCGTGGTAAAATCACTGTACTCTGGCCACAGCGCTATGACAAAGACAGCAATATTCAATATATGATAACATTTATTATTAATATTATTCACAGAAACCCTTTTAAGCCAAGTAATGTAGTTCATTTGTGATTCTGTAGAAAAGCAGACTTGTGTCATTCATATAATATATTTTATACAGTACCGGTTAAATGTTTGGAATAATTATATATATGAAGAAACACACACACACATATATACACACACATATACACTGCACAAAAAATTAGAGGAAAGTTAAAAAAATTCAGCAAGGACATATTAAATCGATCGAATGCAACAGTAAAGACATTTATAATAATACAAAATATTTAAAATAAATGCTGTTCTTTGGAACTTTCCCTTCATCTATGAATCCTGAAAAATAAAATGTACCACCGTTTACACAAAAATATTGTGCAGCACAACTGTTTTCAACATTGATAACAATCAGAAATGTTTCTTGAGCAGCAAATCAATATATTAGAATGATTTCTGAAGATCATGTGACACTGAAGACTGGAGTAATGATGCTGAAAATTCAGCTTTGATCACAGCAATAAACTACAGTTTAGAATATATTCAAATAGAAACCAGTAAATTGTAATAATATTTCACAATATATATATATATTAAATAGAAAATACTTCTTTTAAATTTTTGACAAATGCAGCATTGGTGATGAAGCATCATGTCTTCTTTCAGAAACATAAAAACATCCCACTGACCCCAGTTTGAAGGCTAGTGTAGCTGTATGTATGAATACTCTGTCTGTCTGTTTGGGTGGCCTGCTTTAATATAAGACTGGCTGGATGTGGTCTTGTCCTGACAGACTATCAGGACCCTGACAGGTTCTCGTGGGAGAGGTATCTGGAGGAGACGGGCTCGACGGCGGTCGCTCCTGAAGCCTTCAGAGTGGTGTGTCAGATCTCTCAGTCCTGATCAAATACAATCAGAACTCTATTGAGACCACTTCCTTGGTCAAAATAAGGAAAGCAACTCTTCTTGTGTTTGCGCAGCGCCCCTCCCACAGCTTCCAGGTGCAGATGAAGCTGGAGGCAGTGGATAAGAGGTGTCCGGGGCTGATCCGCTTGGCTACGGTGCAGGAGATTGACACCTACAGAATCAAGGTGAGAAAAACCTGCTGCTGCTTCTGTAGACTAACCCCAGCTTACAGCTATGCCAGTTTGATCAAATGTGACCCTGGAGCACAAAACCAGCCATAAGGGTCAGTTGTTTGAAATTGAGATTTATACATCATCTGAAAGCTGATTGAATAAGCTTTCCATTGATGTATGGTTTGTTAGGATAGGACAATATTTGGCTGAGATGAAAAGTCTGGGGTAGGTATGATTTTTGAATGATTTTTGAGTCTTCTGCTCACCAAAGCTGCATTTATTTGATCAAACATACAGTAAAATAATAATATTGTAAAATATTATTACAATTTTCTATTTGAATATTTTTTAAACTGTGATCAAAGCTGAATTTTCAGCATCATTACGCCAGTCTAAAAAAATCTTGCTGACCCCAAACTATTGAATGACTATTTTAAGTATAAAACATATAATTTAGCATAGCAAACAGAAGTACAAAATATTAAACATCCTCTTGACAAGTTTTTTGAGAAGCAAAATTGTGTACAATAATAGGAATTGTTTTCAGAGAATATATATTAAACATTTCTCTTAACAAACTGCCTACAAGTTTTTCACTAAATTTTGTTACTACATTTATATACATTTATTATTTGTACATTATTCTTTAAAAGTATGTAATTTTGTAATTGGAACTAATTTTTCCAAGTAAATTTGTCATTTGTCAAAGGCTTGTCTATGAATATTTTACAGGAAAACAAGACAAAATTTTTTTATTACTATATATAAACATTTCTGTCATGACAACTCTCGGAGGGATTGGCATGGTCATCTACATGACAATCTTAATGTATTTGGTCTTGGCGCAATAGGTCTGCTGCTGCTGCTGCTGCCAATGCATCCACAAAATGCTGCTGTGAGCATGTAAGAATACGGCTGCTGCACATATAACATGAATAACCCCCATAACATACATGATCACCCCGTAGCAGATCTATACAGGTGGAGCTGGGGGAGGTGGAGGGCTTCTGAGGCGCTGTGACTGATACAGCGAGCACTGTTGAGCAGCGAGCTCATTGGCTGCTGATACAAAAAGAGCCAATCAGCTGCGCCATGTGATAATGATGACATTAGGTCAGATTGAGTTTGACCTATCGGACCGTGCCATCTAGAGTTTCATGCCAGAACTCTGTCTCTCTCTCTCTCTATATATATATATATTAATGTAGTAGAGTGAGGTTTATTTGTGAGGGTTAATCAGCCTCATTTCTGTTGTCCTTAGATTCATTTTGATGGCTGGAGTCACTTGTACGATGAGTGGATGGATTCGGATCATCCGGACATCCACCCTGCGGGCTGGTGTGAGAGCACAGGACACCCCCTCAAACCTCCACCCTGCCAGCCCACCGCCCAGAAACCCGGTGAGAAACCTCCAGCCCTCATTCCTCTGACCCTCACCTGCTCATGCACCAAATACTGTGTCAGCTCAGAGTCACCTGTGTGGTTTAGGTCCCCGGGAGAGCCTGACAGCCCGGCAGCCCAGCTTCTCCTCCATGCCTTGTAAAAGTCTGCCTCAGTCACGCAGCACCTCCAAATACAGCTTCCACCACAGGTCAGTCTTTAGCGTGCCTTTAGCACTTTTCATAACATTTGTGGTTTAGAGCAGCTTGACAGAAAGTGCAACACCACTGCTTTAATGTTGAAATGGTCAGACAAAAGAACAATGCAGAATACAGAACAAACGTGCTTTCTGTCACTCAGAAAGTGCCCTACTCCGGGATGTGATGGGTCAGGTCATGTGACCGGCCGCTTCACGGCACATCACTGTTTATCTGGCTGCCCATTGGCTGAGAGGAACCAGGGCCGGCTTAAAGCGGATCTCTCTGATACAGAAGGATCCAGACGTAACCTGCTGGTCTTCGGCCAGAGAGCAAAAAAATCACGCTTCCATGGCAGGTACAACAATATTTACGATTGTTGTGTTAATCAAGTGTGATTGTGTATTTGTATATTAAAGATATTGCTGTTATGTAAACATTTATTAAAAGTCACCTGTGTTTGCTGTCACCAGGATTGGTCGCCCTCCAAAATATCGCAAAAGTCAGCAAAGAAATTGTCAGAGTGAGTTTAACTTTACTGCATTTTCTATATTTGAATCTGAGTCTCAGTGACTGTGTTTGAATGAGCAAGAGTTATTCCAATTATATGTGACTAAATTATATGTAATTATATCAAACTCTAGCACTCTCTATTCTAATTCTGTTTTATCTATTTGTTTTCTTTTTTATTTATAAAAAACTTTTGACCCTCTAACACTAGCATTCTCAATTCTTTTTCTGTTCTATCTACTTTTTCTTTTTATTTATTATATAAAAAACCCTTGTGTGCGGCTTTAGACTAACCGAGACCTGTCACAGCATTTGCATATCATTGCTCTTTTGTTGGTTTTGATTGCTCTATTGTCCTCATTTGTAAGTCGCTTTGGATAAAAGCATCTGTTAAATGACTAAAGGTAAATGTATACATGTGTCATGTGAACATGTTAATCAGATCACCATAACCCTGTAAGGTAATATTCTGTTTACTAATAATCTGACTGATGTATTCATTGTTGAGATATGCAAAGATTTACTCAGAATATCCTAATTAAACAATATATTGGGCCCTATCATACACCCGGTGCAATGCGGCGCCAGGCACGATGCAAGTGTTTTTTGCTAGTTTCAGCCCGACGCAGTTGTCATTTTCACGTCCTGCGCCACGTTGTTTAAATAGCAAATGCATTTGCACCCATTTGTGCGTCCATGGGCGTGCTGGTCTGAAAACGAGGTGTGTTCAGGCGCATTGCTGGCGCGTTGCTATTTTGAGGCAACTGAAATATACTGCGCCATTGACCAACTAAAACCTGATCTAGCAAAAGTGGATTTGGACACACCCTAAGTGCACCTGCGCCGTGCGCTTTAGACCTTGCGCTTAGATCGTTAAAATAGGGCCCATATACAAGTTAAGTCTATATCATGTGATTTTGCAATTCATTGAAAACTGCGTGTGTGTGTGTGTGTGTGTGTCTGTGTGTGTCTGAGTGTGTCTGTGTGTGTGTGTGTGTGTCTGTGTGAGTGTGAGTGTGTGTGTGTGTGTGTGTGTCTGTGTGAGTGTGTGTGTGTGTGTTTCAGACATGGCGTTGGAGGGAATGTACTCGTCTCTCTTCATGACAGCGTTTACAGTGAACTCGGACCGGACTCTGTCTCTCTGCTGGGAGCAGCACTGTAAGTTACTGCCTGGCGTCGCAGGAATTCATGCAGGTCAAGTATCCACATGGACTATAGAGGAGGTAATCGCTTTATTCAACCGTTTGCAATTTTCTTGGGTAAAATAAATACATTTATTAATTTTAGTGTAAAAGATCACATGCAGTTATATAGGACGGCATGCACAGGCCATTATTTGCACATGTACTATATTATTATATATTACTTAATCACTTATGCTTCCAACACTTTTATTTTAAATAAAAAAAGTAATATATTTAAAATGCATCTATTTCATACTAAGTATAGTTCAAATCTATATTTACTGACATATCACTTGAGACTGATATAAACATTATAATTCAACTGTATTTGGAGTACTTGTGCACAATGCACATTTCTTAATATTAAGCCTAAAATGTGTTTTCATGTCAATATTGGTGAGGATTGTATGATCTTTGAATAATATCGGTCTTTAAATGCAAGATATTTAAAGTGTATCTGAAGTATACTCGCAATAGCTCCACTTTAGCACAATCAGATTTACTTTAGTGTATCTTTAGTTGGACTTCAGCACTATTTCTGCACAATTAAAGTGCATTAAGCACAAAATTAGTTATTCCAATTTAACAGACTTTAAGTATACCAGTTTAGTTGTCAGTTGTCAGACCCGTGTTTTGTGTGTGTTTTGTTCCCCATGTGTTTCTATGCCCATATTTGGTCCTTCCCGTTCCTGTCCTTATCATTTGTTCCAGGTGTTCCCCGTTTAGTTCTATTGATCCCAGGTGTGTCTCGTCATCCCCTCGTCATGCCATGTGTAGCCTATATAAAGTGTTCCCTGTTCTTAGTTCGGCGTCCGGTATTGTTTATGCCAACCTCCTCTGCTACGTGTGTTTTCCTGGTTCCCTTGATGTTATTAAAGTCTCCTTGTTGATGTACTCCACGTCTCCTCATTCCTCGCTCCGCGCTCCCTCACAGTAGCGTTCGTGACAGAATACCGGACCAAAGAAGATGACTGCGGCTGAAGACAGGCTTTGGTGTCTGCGGCAGGGTGGTCGGGAGTTGGAGAGGTATGTAGAGGAGTTCCTAGAGCTCTCCAACCAGGTGAGCTGGTTCGATGCCATTTTCTGTGTCTGTTTTTGGCTGGGGCTGGATGATGACGTAATCGGCTGCGATCTTCCCACGTACAGTTTTCTCCTGATCGAGTTGGTTAATCATGTCCTTTATTTAAATGGAGTAAGTCTCGAAGTAGAAAAGTTTCAGAGCGATCATCATCCAGTCCCTCCCGAAAATCACCGGGCCTCGCCAGCTCACCCCTCGCCAGGACCCTCCACATACCAGGCCAAATGTTCCGACCACCCATCTCCTCCCAGCACCGTCTCTGTCCTCAGCCCAGAAACGCCGGCCATTCTTCAGTCAAGCCCGCCAGCCGCGGCATTCTCCAGCCCCCCAGCCTGCCCGAGCTCAAGCCCGCGGGCCGCGCCGTTCTCCTCTAACCAAGGGAGGAGGATGAGGAGAAAAAGACTGTTCTCCGCCCTCATCCCAGCCCCAGAGCTTGCTCCAGTGTGGGCTCCAGCCCCAGAGCTCGCTTCCGTGTGGGCTCCTGGGCTCCTGTTCCTGAGTTTAGCCCACGGAGGGCTCCAGTCCCCGAGTTTAGCCCAGAGAGGGCTCCAGTCCCCGAGTCTAGCACAGAAAGGGCTCCAGTTCCCATGTCCAGCCCAAGGAGGGCTCCAGTCCCCATGTCCTGCCCAAGGAGGGCTCCAGTTCCCACGTCCTGCCCAAGGAGGGCTCCAATCCCCAAGTCAAGCCCTGGGAGGGCCTCTAAAGACGATATTCTCCCCAAGGATTTTTTTTTGGGGGGTGGGTAGTAGGGGTACATCCATGGAGGCCGGGCCGAAGCCAGGCTCCCCGAGTTCCCTGTTCCACCATGGCATCCTGAACTGCCTGATCCGCCATGGCTTCCAGAGCTCCCTGCTCCGCCATGGCACCCTGGACTGCTTGATCTGCCCTGGAGGTATTCCCCGTGTCCCAGTCCTGCACCAGCCTCCAGGGCGCCCACCCCCCTCCCTGGTGGAATTGTTACAGCGCTGGACGCGCCTTATGGGAGGGGGGAATAATGTCAGACTCTGTTCCGTGTTTTGTGTGTGTTTTGTTCCTCATGTGTTTCTATGCCCATATTTGGTCCTTCCCGTTCCTGTCCTTATCATTTGTTCCAGGTATTCCCCGTTTCGTTCTATTGATCCCAGGTGTGTCTCGTCATCCCCTCGTCATGCCATGTGTAGCCTATATAAAGTGTTCCCTGTTCTTAGTTCGGCGTCCGGTATTGTTTATGCCAACCTCCTCTGCTACGTGTGTTTTCCTGGTTCCCTTGATGTTATTAAAGTCTCCTTGTTGATGTACTCCACGTCTCCTCATTCCTCGCTCCGCGCTCCCTCACAGTACCGTTCGTGACATTAGTATAGTAAAAGTACAATTGTAGAGTATTTGAATTAAGTACATACATATGTATTTGTAGCATACTTATCATGAAATATATTTATTTCATATACACTTTAGTATATTTATTTTTCACTAGGGTAGGACAATAAGAGTACAGATGCACAGTTTCTGAGTTATAACATAATCTATAGACACAGCAAACAAACAGCAGTCAGTATGATGGCTCTGTTAATTTATATCCCCATTTTATTTGCAGGTCTTTGGATTTGTCAATAATCTTATTGGTTGTGAGGAGCAGGCCCGAATTTTCAAAGAGGAAGTAAGTAATTAACCTCATTAAATTAGAATTATTAATGGTACTTGCTGAAGAAAGCATCGTAAGTAGGCTATTATTGTGCAAATTAAAATGTTAATAGATTGACTGTTGAGTCATAATGTTTTAGTAGTCAATAGTTTCTAAGAGTTTCTATATAGGAATTGTATATATGAAGGCGCAATCACATTTAACTTTGCACATTAATTTCTGGGAGGGTGATGCGTCTCAATAGAAAGCGGGAGGATGGGGTATTTGGTTTGAAAGTGTGTGTTGTATTGTGTAATGCTACACTATTGACAATAAATAACTCCAGTATATTTGTAGTGAGTTTTGCATGGGTACACACCACTAATATTGTCTTTAAAGAACTTTATATATATGATATTTCAGGTACGGTGGCCGGGAGGGGACATGTTTGGTTCACTTAATTTTGTTGTGGTCACGAGTTTAATGCGTAAACAAACCTGCGTGACCATAGCAACCTGGGATTATCAGAGATGGATAAAACATTTTTACATTAAACATTTAATTTAATATTTGTATATTATTATTATTACTATATTAACTTCTTAGGTCTATATTTCTATGTGTATTGTTATATATGATTTTTCCCCTTTCCATTCGTGTATCGCTTTACCTAATTAACGTTCTGTATAATTATGCTAGTATTTGCTAACATATATTTTGCAAATACTGTAAACGCCTGACCATTATGCCAATAAGGTATTGACTTTATGATTGTATTTATGCCTGTGTGTGATGGTAAATGAGCCTGTTGTGTTTTAATTTACAAATGAAACTACGTGAATGATTTATTCCTCAACAAAACACTATAGTATTTATAATTATAGTCTATTAATTAGCTGAAATAAACTGCATTCCAGTAAAAATTTAAGTCAGCATAATCAAAGCTTTATTGGCATGTCGAGCATTTACAGTAGGTTATTATTTAGCATTATTATTTAGCATTTATTTAGTATTCAGAAAGTTAAGTAAAGAGATCGAAATGAAGAGGGGAAAACGAATATAAAAATATAACCAATAATAATAGTCTAATAATAATAATAATAATAATATACAAATATTACAGTGAAAAGACGATCAGTTAATGGACTTACAAGACTTGTGGGATGAATAAAAATGTTTTCTTGTAGGCCTATTTTATTTTATGTACTTTATTTGACTTTATTCATGATAAACTTAATTCGAATGCTGTCTACATTGCGCGCAATTCAGTCCGGTGTAGCTCACATCTTGTGTAGCTCATCGATGCTTTTCTCTGCAGATGATTGATGGAGAGGCGTTCCTCCTTCTGAATCAAAATGATATTGTGAAGATCATGAATATCAAGCTAGGACCAGCGCTGAAGATTCACAACGCCATCTTAATGTTCAAGAGCACAGATGAAGGCCTGAAGTGAGCAGCTCATCCTCAGACTCCTCAATCAGAATCCGACTTCTATCACGTGTTTGCTGTTTAACGTCTGAACCCACCAGAGAGAGAGAGAGAGATCCAGGACGAACCATAAGTGACAAAGCAGCCCAGCCCAGCTTTGACGGTGCTTTACTTCAAAAGCGAAACGACACGTTCTGATAAAGAACAACTTGATCTGGACCCACCTTTTACAGTGTTTTCTGTATCTGGAGTGCTAACTGAAATCTACATTAGTCCTCAGTATGTTGTGTGGAAATCGGCGCGCAGAAATATCAGGGCAGATTTCAGTCGATTGGTGCTACTGGACCCTTTATTCGATCCCTGATGATGCACTTTACATGAGGAGTCCATTGTTTGGGGACCATTACCAATATCTGCCCTCAGTAACAAAGTGCTCCTGACATTCAAAGAGATTCTAGTTTAAAAGCATGAGCTATTTTACCGAGATATCAGTGTTGTTATTTTTCATCTGTATGAATGAGGGGTGAATAGCAGGAACCGAGGTCAGGTTTTTAGGTCATCTATGTTTCTCTCTCTGATGGGAACATTTTAATAATGTACAGTTGAGTAACTGTGTCGTTCAGTTCATCAACATGAATAAATGTTTAATTCAAGTGTTGTTCAGTGGAGTCTGACAGTCCCCTGAATATGTGAACTTGTTGAGGAGAGCTGTGCTATTTCCAAGCCACTAGATTCACAATTTTCATCTGGCAGACGATAAAACGGGCATAAAATGCAATAAATGAATACTAAGATAGCAACAACATAACAGTGCCCCGGAAACCACACTTTTTTAGCAAACTGTATGATCGCAAGTTGCGTCATTTACAACATTTCTGTGTTTTCTGAAAGCATAGTTAAGACTAACGAAGGATTCGCTGTTGGTCAGTGTGGTTACAAGCAGAGCTGGGGAGTAACCATAGACTGTATAAAAACATGGACGTAGTGTCCGTGACGTCACCCGTAGGTTTCTGACGAGCGGTTTTGAAGCTCAAAGTGGGCGGAGCAGGCCGTCGCCAACTTGGCAGCACGTCACCGCGCGTCACTCCCGGATTATCGAAAAAGGGGAAAGAGGCGGGAGCTGGTTGCTGAAACCACGCCCACCTAGCTCGACGCCGGTGACAGCAGCGGCAGTCCACCTGTCACTCAAGTGGCCACGCCCTTAATTATGCAGAACTTTAAGGCTTAATATAATTTAAACGGACGAGTTATAAAAAAATTCCCCCCCCTCACAGTTGTCATGAAGGGCAAAATTAGCTATATAGACCAAAATAATTTTTTGAACCAGGCTGTAAACATGTTTTTTTCTGCTGTAAAGTTTGGCATTTTAACATGGGGAGTCTATGGGACTGACTCCCTTTTGGAGCCAGCCTCTAGCGGCCAGTCGATGAATTGCAGTTTTAGTCACGTCCGTGTTGGCTTCACGAGAGAGAGCGGGAGGTTGCCGCTTGGGAGTAACTGGTTACATGTAATACAAATTTAGTACTTGTAATTTGATTAAATTACGTTTTCAAATACTTGTAATCAGACTACAGTTACTTTTTTATGTTCTAACACGCCCCCACATATCTACCTCACTATGTGGAAATATTAGCATAATGCCGCCCAAATGTGCACGCAAAGAAAGAAGGCGTGGTTTCAGGAACAGCAGTGTTGATGCAGCCATGTCAGGGAGACACTGTGTGATTCAGTGCTAAAGCAAAAGCACTTTATTTGGCCTTCCGGAAGCGCAAGGACGCTTCAAGTCAAACGAACAAACAAACATGTGCGCATATTTGCATCGCTTTAAACGTTCCCTTTAGATCTCACCATCTCACGTGCAGCAACACGATTGGTCGATTATATACAATACCTGCAACACAAACACACACACACACACACACACACACACTCACTCACTACAGTGTGTCTCTCTGGCTCTCATCTCTCCGCTGCACACATGGGTTGATCATTCACCCGGGCCTTCAGCCGAAGCAGCTGCATAACCAGACGTTTCTGAGACACGCGCAGAAAATGCACTTTATCAGCAAAACTTCATCAACTCTACATTTAACCCTGACTCCAAACAGACGGTGAGTTGTTTTTTCAGACAACCATGTTTACACTCTTTTCGATTGTTTTATTTGTATTTGATCAGAAACTATAGAATACAAACTGCTTGTCAGTGTATACACTAATCTACTTCCAACTACTATATTATACAAGCTTTTATTAATTAATTAGTTGGTAACACTTTTCCTTGTTACACGTTACATGTACTTACTATTATAATAACAATAAATGATGCATAATTACATGCAAGTAATCCTAACCCTAACCATACAGTAACTGCATGTAGTTAATTAATATTACTCAGTAATTAATGTATAATTACACTGCAACAAGGACACCTTAAAATAAAGTGTAACCATTTATTTATTTAGATTCATAATGAACTCGTCCAATGGTGTTTATTAAGGTGAATAAAAACATAAGGATAATAATTATCACGATACCGTGATCCTCCACTGTGTCTAGCAAACAAACAGCACATTTTAGTCGAACCTCACACAGCAGACATAACCTTTAGGAACAAAGTGTTTATTCGTCGTCCTAATTTGCAGGAGAACTGCAAAGCTGTATTGACCGTGTACACTTGTTCAAACGTCCTTCATGGGTCTGTTGTGTCACAAAAACCTGAAGATCCAGTTTGTGAGCGGCCGAGCAGCATAAGAGCTCAGGACACTTCAGATCCTCACAGATCTGACTCGCAGCTGCTGAGGAACACAGGATGGCTCATTATAATCCAGTAAGAACTTTCATTCTTCACGGTTACATTGTAGATTAGCCAGGCTTTGCTGGGATGTATATGTTGAATATATTTCACTGTCCTCTTCAGTCCTTATCGTCTCCATCAGACGAGGTCAATCTGGGTGTGTCGGCCAATCCTCAGTAAGATCACACTTTTATTAATCATTTGTCAGAAGAATCCTGTAAACCTTTTTCATATGGAACACGATGGATTTATGTTCATAGATAGTGATTGTGGTGCAGTGGCTATTACTGTATATATTATAATAACTAGGGCTAGGCTGTTCATTTGTATTGTCTTGTGTGCTTCAGTGCCAAACCCACTGACTTTGACTTTCTGGCTGTGATTGGTAAAGGAACATTTGGGAAGGTGAGGCGCGTCTGATGCCACTCTCTGATTAACTGTGTCCCGTGTGACTTCACCAATCATTAACGCTGCAAAGGTTATCTTGATGAAAGAAATGTTTGGGGTTGTTTTAAAGGCATAAGTGATCTACACGAGAAAAAAAAAATACAGAAATGCTGTTTCATCCAAAACAATATGTGAGATATCATGTCGATTGCAGGTGCTCTTAGCAAAACTGAAAGCTGATGGAAACTTCTATGCCGTGAAAGTTTTGCAAAAGAAAGTTATATTGAAGAAAAAAGAGGTTGGTGTTTATTTATCTATTTTACGTGCAACCAGCTTGTTTTTCCATACAGTGTTTCATATGAAAGATCCAAACACCTCATTGCTCTGATAATGATAGGATCTAATCTAACTCTGTCCTTTGTACCATGCCAAGCCTGCTGGTCAAAAGACAGACTCTTGATTGGCTACAGTAGTAACTAATATTCACCGCATGTTTTGACGTTGGAATGTAATTGCTGAACACGATCCCAGTGTGTAATACACAAGCAGTGTGCAAACTGCTTGCAGAGTTTCATTGTTTTAGCACTGAAAAGCTCCTCTTGAAACTGTAGCATTGTCGCTTGTCTCATGCTCTGTCCTGGATGGTGCCGGCTCATATCTGTCTTCTCTTGTTCACCTCCGTCAATGCTGCGTTTGTGTGCAACAGCAAAAGAATATAATGGCAGAGAGGAACGTGCTGCTCAAGAGTCTGAAACACCCTTTTCTGGTCGGGCTGCACTACTCCTTTCAGACCCCGGAGAAGCTGTATTTTGTCCTGGATTACGTCAACGGTGGAGAGGTATGGCAAGAAAGCATCACTGATGAATACAACAGGCATTTTCAGAAAAAGTCCAATTGTTTCAAAAACCATTGCAACCGAGAAACTGAGTTCAGCTGCATACAAATGTGACAGATTATTAGAAAACAAACAACAAAAATGCAGTATGCAGTAGTTCTGTCTGTCTGTCTGTTGCTGCGTGGCCAATCAAAATGCAGGCAGATGAGCATGGGTTGAAGTGGACTAATGATTGGAGACACCAGAGAGAAGTCACAGTAAGAAAAAAACATGCATTTATAGATAGGGTGACTTCGATTTCATGCTGACTTAAAAAATGAGTGTATATATTTATTTATTATGCATTTATATATTTACATTGCATTGATGAAAAGTGACAGTAAATACATTTGTAATGTTATAAAAGATGTGCATTTCAAATAAATGCTTTTATTTTGCACTTTTGAGTTATTAAAGAATCCTTTAAGTAAATCAGCATATTAGAATGATTTCTGAAGGATCATGTGGCACTGAGTAATGATGCTGAAAATTCAGCTTTACGTTACATACATAAATTACATTTAAAAAATGCATTTCTTTTAAATTGTAATAGTATTTCACAACATTGCTGTTTTACTGTATTTTTGATCAAATAAATGCAGCCTTGGTGAGCAGAAGAGGCTACTTTAAAAACAATAAAAATTCTTACAGATCCCAAACTTTTATATACGTATCAAGTACATAAGACTTCATAATAATATATAACTCAGACTGAAGCACTGTTTCACATGATTGACTACATCTGATTAATATGAAAGTGTTTTTGGTTAGGAATTACAAACAGCCACCATTCGTGTTTAAAGACAGGCAGGATTGTGACAAGGGACAGCACTATTAATAACCATACTTCTGCTTATACATTTATGTTGAAATATCCTTATGTTTACAGACATAAACTCAGTTTAAGTACTATATCAGCTCACACAAGATAAACCGTTTTAAACAGATTTCTGTTTTACATTTTACATGCTGGAAACAAGCAGCACAATCAATTGAATGTGTTAAAAACAGGTCTGAGTGCTCCTTTTCCTTTCCCCTGCAGTTATTTTATCACCTGCAGAGAGAGCGGTGTTTCTCAGAGGCACGAGCTCGCTTCTACACGGCTGAGGTGGCCAGTGCCATCGGATACCTTCACTCTCTCAATATAGTGTACAGGTCAGTAACAATGCTTTCCTGTCATATCTCAGCTGGCCTGAACTCACTTCCATGCCTTCATGTTCCCATCTAGAGATCTCAAGCCAGAAAACATTCTATTAGACCACCAGGTAAAACAGCTATTTAGGACAAGTGCATGCAATAGTAATAATAAATGCATTGTGATAGTGCATTTAAGTTTGTTTCTGATCTCTTTCAGGGTCATGTGGTGTTAACAGATTTTGGCTTGTGTAAAGAAGGCATAGAACCAGAAGGAACCACCACAACCTTCTGCGGCACTCCAGAGGTACGAATCTTGAGTCGAGTCAAATTTACTTTTTACAATATACATTGTTTCAAAGCAGCTTTACAGAAAATCATAATGTTAATGTTTATAATATTCTTATATCTTCCTCGCTTATAGTTGCATTTAGCAGATTAAAGGTGGATGATAATATAGTTCATATTTTGCGACAACACAAGCAATCCAGCACTTTTATGAACATTTATGCATTTGGCAGAATCTTTGATCATAAGTGACTTTGCATTCAAGATGCACATTTGATCAGTTTTTGCTATCTATGGGAATTGAACCTATGGCTTTGGCATTCTAGTGCTATGCTCTATTGTTTGAACTACAGGAAAATATATGTGAATGAAGATGAACCTGCTTACAGTATACATCTAACTTCATATAAAAGTCTGGGCAATAATATAGTTACATTTTGCAACAAAAACAAAATTTAAAAAGTTGAGATTTTTAATATAGTATATCTCTTCACGTTATTGCAATGTATGCTGATAAAGCTGGATGTAATGTATATCAGACTTTATAGAGAGCTGTGCAATAATACAGTTATAGTCTTTATTGCGCTATGGACCTAATGCGTCATTTTTAGGTTTTTGTCTTTGAACTTCCGTTTTTAAGGTAGCTCTAGAGCAGGGGTGTCAAACTCAATTCCTCGAGGGCTGAAGCCCCGCAGAGTTTAGATTCAACCCTAATTAAACACACCTGATCCAACTAATCAAGTCCTTCAGGCTTATTTGAAAACTACATGGTATGTGTGTTGGAGCAGGGTTGGAACTAAACTCTGCAGGGATCCGGCCCTTCAGGAACTGAGTTTGACACCCCTGCTCTATAGCATCGCTTTTGAAGAGTAATTAGTTGATGAAGTTGTTTTAGAGTTAACCACTGTTATTAAGAACATCGTAATTTTTAAAGCGGATGTCATAGCAAATGTCAGAAGACCGGGATGATTTTAATACGAGCGGTTCATTCATAAATTCGTAAGATCTTACCATCATGCTGTGGAAATGCACTCCGGAAGATGGAACACAAAAAGGGGCGGGGCTACATAAGGTCTATACTAGTGTACTGTGTGTATGTGGATAAAGCTGGACATACTTTTATATTCAACTTTATATAAAGAGCTGGACAATAATATAGCTACATTTTTGTGACGATATAAACAATTACGCAGCTATAAATAAATAAATGAATAAATAAATAAATATAGCAAATATATATATACTGTATTTATGTATGTATGTATGTATGTGTATATATATATATATACAGTATATATATATATTAGGGATGGAACGATTACCCGTTTGATGATAAATCATGATAAATTTCCCCACGGTTAGTATTACTGTTTCATATTTTAATTATCATTAATGGGGTCATATGATGCGATTTAAATTTTTCCTTCCTCTTTGGAGTGTTAGAAGCTCTTGGTGCATAAAGAAGATCTGTAAAGTTGCAAAGACTAAAGTCTCAAATCCAAAGAGATATTCTTTATAAAAGTTAAGAGTTCACGTAAGTACGTTTTCTTTTATCATTTGCCACTGATGATTCAAACGCGAGTTTTGGGCAGTGTAGAGTAGCGCTTGTTGTTTGTCATTTCTCCGATCACAAATGCAGACATGGTTTTATGTTTACGCGGCGCGATGCAACGCTACGCTTTCAACTCGTTTTTTTTTGTCTCGAGTAAGACACTATGACATTCACGTTACATGATTTGACTGATTTTTACGTAGAAAGGGTGACAGCGCACTGCATTAAAAGAAATGACATTCAAAAACAAAATTAAATCATCTTTGAGAGCAAGGGGGCCCCCTGGTGTTTCGTAAAATGACAGTATAAGTCATTATAATCAGTAATTATGTCCCCACTGGATGCAACAAATGCCTCGTTTATAATGGGTTTTCATGTTTTTTGTCTTGTCGCTCCGGGAGACGGCATCAACAGTATGGTGAGGGGTGTAACATTTCCGTCTCACGCTTGAGGTATTCGGCCAATCACAACGCACTGGATTGCTGGCCAATCACAGCACACCTCGCTTTTCAGACCGATGAGTTTTGTAAAAATCGAGGCGTTTTAAAAAGGCGGGGCATAGAGGAGAAACAATAATGTACAGTATGTGGAAAATAATGTGTTTTTTGCCGCCGCAACAGTTTAAAATCAGCCCAATGCCGTGCAAAAAAATAAAAACATGCGGATTTGGCAACCCTGCATCCAACACGAGCTGCATCCAAAGTGATTTAAGTACTCAACATATTGATAGTGGTTCCCTGATGCGCAAAAATTATATTCAGTATATTTATTAGTTTGCGTGAGCAGGCTGTTCAGAAATTCAGCGGGAGCGGGATTAAGAAAACAGGGCTTTAATACAAAAATGCACACAATGAGTGGCGACTGTGGAAAGCAAAAGCAGAATCCCGGACATTTTGAAATCCCAGCTGGTTGCATTTTTGTAGGTCCAGAAAGAGGACATGTCCAGGGAAAAGAGGACGTATGGTCACCCTAATACCTAATAAAGTATTGATTTAATCACAATGCTGCTTTATCCACGGAGGTTACAGGAAACAGCTGTAACTCTGCTGCTCCATTAGCGCCACCTGCTGTCAAAGAGTGGATTTACAGAGACTTACATTCACATTCAGCCTGTGTGCAGTTTCTGTCTGGCCAAAAAACGGACCGAATTTGCATGCCCTGCTGTACTTTTTGACCTGATGATGAAAAACAATTTATGTTGATTCTACACATTTAAACAATTCGGAGAAGGTATCTAGAATTATTTATGGAGCAGATAAAATACATATAATTAT